ATCATTTTCAAGAAAATGATATCAGCCTCTTGAGATGATGTGTATGAAGAACCTGGTATATGGCAGACTGGCCACAAATGTTAATTCCTGTCTTCCCACCTCTAAACTCTCACAGCACTATATTTTGATACTTTTATTCTACTAAATTGTAGTCTTTGTTCTTTTGTACCCCCAGAGCACCTAGCATTCAAGAAATGTTTGTTGAGCACTAAATTGATTGACCACAGGTGAAATAGCATTCTTCAGTCCAAAACAAATGAAGGCCAAGAATAAATAAGATAGAAATGTATAAAATTGTGAAAATAAAAGTGGATGAACTTTGTTTAGGAAGCATTGCATTTCTGTTTATGGTGATGGAAATTTGGCAACGGATATTGGTGATGGTTGTACAATGTGATTAATGCAATTGATATCACTAAATTGTACACATGAAAAACATTAAGTTGGCAAGTGTGTGTTATGTATATATATTTACAACAATAAAAAAAAAAGAGATGAACACACCAAATCCTAGTCTAGTAGATGGAAGCCACGTCTTGAAACATAAACAATGTAAGCTAAAGATAGTAAAATGAAATACTAATTTCCATCAGTGAACTAATGCAGTGTTATATAATACCGCCAAAGGGCACGGCAACAGAAAATGTAAATATGCAGTTTCAAAAGAAAGTTAGAGACTATACAGACAAACCAAAAACAAAAACAAAAACAAAAACAAAACCCATTGCCAACTTGAGGGCAATAGTGACTCTATAGGACAGGGTAGAACTGCCCCCATAGGATTTCTAAGGCTGTATCTTTAAGGAAGCCGACTGCCACATCTTTCTTCTGAAGAGCGGCAGACCATTCGGTTAGAGACAGGGTGCTTTAACCAGGGCTCCTTATGGACAAACAGACCCTCAATTATCTCCTGTTTCTTATTCATCACTGTACCATTCCATTGGCTTCAAACCAAACTAACAAGTGAAACTGTTAATTTGGACCTCCCACCCGCAAGGCTTTAACTCTTTCATGACCAAATTATTTTCGCTTTAAATTTTTTGTTGATGCTAAATCATTGAGTGTGTCCCCGTGGACTCTGGGGTTAGGAGTGGTGGGATGCATATGTCCCTCTGGCTAGGACACGTATTACACATATTGCCCTGTGGACTCTGGTGTAGGACTGATAGGACACATATGTCCCCTCCAGGATGCACTACTTCATACAACACTCTGTAAAAACTAATTTGCGGCACACGCCCATTTCTACTGTTTCAGACAGTTACGGGGTCCCCTCTTGACAGCTGCACGTACTGTCAGTGGGAAAGCATCTTCCCAATAAACCCGAGAGCTGGAAAAGGTAGGTGGGAGTTGTATGTCCTTCGAGTCATTATAGCAGAGCCCAAAAGAAGCAATTTCCCACCAGAAGCGGCTTCCAAATCATAAGAGACTGAGGGCACAAAGGCCGCCTAAGAACATGCGCAGTAACAGCCTCCACCTTCTAGGCGTAAGACGCCCTCCAAATCCCACAATCCTTTTCTCACACATTTCCGGTTTGTTTAGCTCAGGTGTTAGACGCGCAGCAGCGTCCAGGGGATCTAGGTGGGAAAAGGAATTTTTTTCTGTTCATTGAGCTGTTAGTGTTCACTGTTTGGAGTCAGTCAAGTCTTAAGGAGTCACTGCTGCTGCCATCAACATGTCGGTCCCAAGCGCACTCGTGAAACAACAGTCTATTCAGTCGATGGCTGGGGTCTTTCCGGTGCGCAATGAGAAACCTTGAGATTTCAGTGGAAGAAGTGGAGGTGATATGCTATATGTCGGAAAAGATGCCAGACTATCTCCCTGTGGGGTCCTCAGATGAGGAGGATGAAGAATTTCAGTTTATTAAGAAAGCCGAAGAACAAGAAGCAGAGTCTGAGGAACAGGCGGAGGATTCATCTAGTGATCCCAGTCTGTGGCGTTTGCAGAAACGTATTAGAGCAGATGTGTAAGAGAGATTGGCTTGGCATCGGAGCAAGAAGATAGCAGTGAAGAAGAGGAGAAAATTGATGAGGAAATAGAATGGCACCATGGGATGATGCGTCAGCAAGCACAGGAGAGAAAAATTGAAGAGATGAAAATCATGGAGGTGGAGAATGAGGGGCGTTCTGGGGGAGGAGTCAGAATCAGAGTCTGAGTATGAAGAGTACACAGTGAAGATGAGATGGAGCCTCCTCGCCTTCATCCAAAAGAAGGACCGAGTGACGGTTCAAGAACAGGAAGCTGAAGCACTGAAACAGAAGGAGCTGGAGCAGGAGGCGAAACACTTTGAGGAGAGGCACAAGTACCCACTCAAGATTGTAGAAGAGGAGACCAAGAAGGAGCTGGAAGAGAACAACCAGCCCCTGGCTGCACTGGACTCACGCAATACTGATGATGAAAATGATGAGGAGGAATATAAGGCATGGAAAGTTCGGGAGCTAAAGAGAATCGACAGGGCAGAGAAGATCCAGAAGCGCTTGAGAAGGAGAAAGCGGAAATTGCATGCAAAACCTGACTCAGGAAGAGCGGGGAACTGAGCTTCAGGCAAATGGCAAATAAGAATATTTCACATAAAAATAAGGAATTATGACTTCTCTTGGAAAAGATGTGATCTGGCTCCCTGGACCCCACACTGCTTAATGGCAGCAATTGCCAGAGCTAAGTTGCTGCCTATGCCTTAGGACGGGACATGCCCTTGCCAGCCCCCACTGTTCTCACCACTCCTTGGTGTTCATATATTGCCTGCTCACAACTCACCTGCCTGTCGCTGCTGGCTTTTGAGTTTACCATCCCTGCCTTAGTGCCACTTTCAGAAACAAATATGAATGGTGAATTCTAGACCCTGGATCTGAAGCTGGATGGTGATTTTTATAATCTCAATATAATTAGCAGGTTAATTCAGCTTTTTTAAGTTGGCAGGAACAGATAGACTCTAGTAATGGGAGTTTATTGTGAGATTACATGGGGAAATTAAGGAAGACTGGGTCAGTATTCCTATAGGTGGGAGAAAGAAAAGAGGAAAATATTATTTGTGTTTTAATATACAGTGTTACCTTTTGTTTGTAAAAGACAGGAAGTACTAATTCTCATGTACTGATACATTGTAAAATACCTCTTCCATTCCCTTCTGTCTTCTCCAACCAGTTTCTCATTCTTTAATGGATTTTGTGGTGTTTAGTTCCTGGTAAGGAGCCCTGGTGTCACAGTGGTTAAAGGGTTTGGCTGCTAACCAAAAGGTTGGTGGTTTAAACCCACCAGCCGCTCCATGGGAGAAATATGTGGCAGTCTGCTTCCATAAAGATTACAGCCTTTGAAACCCTATGAGGCAGTTCTGTTCTGTCCTATAGGGTCGTTCTGAGTTGGAATGGACTCGATGGCAATGGGTTTGGTTTTTTGTTTTTTACTTCCTGAGTGTTATACAGCATACTAACGCAACCCAATACTTTGATGATAAAAATTCAATATGTAACTATGGCCCAGTTCCTTAGCTTTTCTAAAACCTCATTTTCATTGTCTGTAAAATGGCAATAATAATAGTACTAGGATTATTGTGGGAATTAAATGAAATAATTAATGAAAAATATTTAGTGTAATGCTTGACATATAGTATTAAGTACCCAAGAAATGCTGGTGATAATGATAATAATGATGGTGGTGGTGCTACATGGTCATTCTGAAAGTTGCTGATATAGTAAACTTGTTTTTAGCCTCGCCTGTAAAAGAACTGTTTGTGTAATCTACATAATTTGGGTGTTTACCTATATATTTTACATCTGTGTAATATGTATATACTTTTTCACATTTATGTGGAAGAATTTTAGAGTTTATGCCTTTTTATTATTCAAAAACACAGATGATTAAGAATGATCATACTTTCTTCCAGAGATGGATCTGTATCCATCCTCATTAACTCCCTGTTTCTCATTTTCTTAGAAGAACAGGACAATACAGATTGTTGAAGCTAAATGTGACCCTTAGAAATCATGCAGTACAGTACAGAGCCTAAGAAACTTGTTCTCAGTCATACAACTAGTTGGGGGAAGAAAAAAACAAAAAAACACCAGGGCTAGGACCCCAGTGTCCTGGTGTCCTGTGCAGTGCTTTTTCTGCTACACGGTAATGCCACTAACTAGATACTTGACATTCATTCAAGAAATATTTGTTGAGGGCCTAGTAAGTATCAGACACTATTTTGGGCCCTGGGGGGACAGCTATGCACAAAGTCCTGTCTCCTGGGCTTGCATTGTAAGTGGGGCAGATAGACAATGGACAAATAGACAAATATTGACTCAGATGCTACAAGTGCTGTGAACCCAAGTAAAGGGATAGAGAATGATGAATACTACTTTAGATAGAAGGAGCCCTGGTGGCGCAGTGGTTAAAGCACTCGGTTGCTAACCAAAAGGTTGGTGATTCAAACCCATCAGCCACTCTGAGGGAGAAAGATGTGGCAGTCTGCTTCTGTAAAGATTACAGCCTTGGAAACCCTATAGAGCAGTTCTACTCTGTCCCACAGGGTCGCTATGAGTCAGAATCAACTCGACAGCAATGGGTTTAGTTTGGTTTATTTTAGATAGAGAGGGAGTTAGGAGACACTGTATTGCGTCCTTAACCCTTAGCATTTTCAGTGAAAATTGGTGGTTAATACTGACTTTTGCCTCTTACTCATTTCTCTGTAACACAGTTGAATAAAAAGGAAAGGATTTCTAGCTGGACACCTGGGTTCTAGTCCTGACTCTAATTTTTATTAAATAGCCAAGACTGTTTACATGTCTGTGCTTTGGTTTCTCCATCTGGAAAATGAGGATAATACACGTCTTATATAGGGGGGTTTTGAGTATAAAATTTGCAATACATGAGACAGAGTTTTATAAAACAATGTGTTTTTCAAATACAAAATATCATTATCTGAAAATTTCATTTCCATCAAAAACGTACCGAGGATCCTGATTTTTTTTTTAAATTGTTTTTCATTTGATCTTTTTACTCATACAGAAATAATGCAACCAGAGAAGAGTGCCCAGACTTTTAGTTCTAAATTTCGGCAAGGTTCTTTCACCTACGATGTTAAGCGAGAGGTGTACAACGAGGAGATCTTTCAACAGGAACACAGAAAGAAGGCCCCTTCCTCAGGGAACCTGGACATCGACATCACCACCTTCAGACACCATGTCCAGTGCCGGTGCGTGTTTGTTATCATTCAGCTGCTGCCAACCTGGGCAGGACTGAAACCTGGCCTGATTGCTTGGGTGCACACTTCTATCTTCCTTCTCTGACTTCCTGTCATCAGAACAATGCCATTTATTGTGTAATTTTTGTTCAGTTTATATATAGATATAGATATTTTTGTTTCATGTTTGTCTTGTAGCACCTTCTAGACTATAAACTTCTTGGGCATAAAGACCTTGAGTACCCCCCACAGCATCTAGGGATGATAGATATCTAATAAATGCATGATTAATCAGTGTCCTGACAAACAGAGGCAACTATGGTGGACTAATGGCAGCAGAATGATACCCTTCTAGCTTCATATCCAGCGGTAGCCACATAGTCTTCATGGTCATCAGTGTAGAACCCACCACCACCACCTCTGGAAAGATTCCAGAGAAAACCATGTGACTAGCTCAGTCCTACAATTCAGGAGCTCTTAACCTGTTTTTGTACTGTGAACCTTTTAGCACTCTGGTGAAATTTATTGATCTTTTTTAATACATAAAATACATTGGATTATACAGGAAAGCAATTATATTGAGCTCCCTTGGAAACCCTATGGGGCAGTTCTCCTCTGTCCTATAGGGTCACTATGAGTCAGAATCGACTTGACGGCAGTAGGTTTGGTTTTGGTTTGGTTTTCTTACAGCAATCAAAATATTTTTCAAAAATTATGTTGTTTAATAATGTGGGTCTAAGAACTACCATAGTTTCACAGTAGTGATGTAAATGATATTTCAAGATATCTGCAACAACTGTAATGTGATACGAAAATATTTGTGATTTCTCTTGGTAACAAGTCAAGTTTTGCTAATTACTATTATGATTTGTTGTCAACGTTCATTATGGAAGGAAATGATAAATTTCAGCTAAAGGTTAGTGAAAATAATGACAGTTTTTCCTATCCAAGTTTATAGACCCCCATCTTTTCCCCCAGATTCTATCTACAGACCCGTTAGGGGCCCATAGACCCCAGGGTAAGAACTCTTGGTGACCTACATCATGATATTAACCCTACTCATTCAAGTTATCCTCACTCACACTCTAGATTTATATTGCCCGTATTTGGTGTGTGCTGGGTGACAAGCGAGGCCTCTGTATATCCCTGTTGCAGAACTTCCCTCCTCTGAGGCATCCTCTTTTGTCACATCTTGCTTTTTGCAAGTTCTGGTCTTGGATGTCCTTTCCCAGCCCCACATCACCACTTTCATTTCCTCTATTCCAGGATGGGTCAGAGGAAATATGTCGAGGAGGGCACTGGGGGCCACATTGGCCTTGTCTCTGCAAAATGATAGTCTTTTCCTGATTTTACCCTCATTACAAACAGGTATTACCAAAGCAATTTTAACCTAACTCCCCTACCATGCCATTTGGACACTTAAATCTGACCTGTTCTGACTCCCATGGGCTTTTAGAACAATTCTTATTCCCTACTTCTAAAGCATACAGTTCTCCCCACTTCTGAATTTTGACCCTGACAGCACAAAATAGTGGTTAGGAGCAAGACTCTGAAGCCATACTACTTGAGTTTGAATCCCAGTTCCACTGCTTCCCAGCTGCATGACCTTGGGTAAGCTATCTAGCCCTACTGTGGCTCAGTTTCTGAATCTGTAAAATGAGGATGATAATGGGTGGTGCAAATGGTTAACTCACTCAGCTGCTAACTAAAAGGTTGGAGTTTCGAGTCCATCCAGAGGTGCCTCGGTAGAAAGGCCTGGTGATCTACTTCCAAAAAATCAGCCATTGAAAACCCTATGGAGCAAAGTCCTACTTTGACACACTTGGGGTCGCCATGAGTTGGAGTTGACTCAATGGCAACTGTTTTTTTTTTTTTTAAAATAGAGCCTACCTCATAAGAGGATAGTTGTAAGGGTTTATAAAGAGTATTTGTAAAGTTTCTAGTACACAGAAAGCACTAATACAAGTGTTTTTAAAGTAAATAGGATAATCTTTTAACTCCATATCTTCCCTTCTGCATAGAACCTCTTTTTCCTCATTTTCTTCCTCTTAGCAACTGCAACTCCTCCATTTCTTGTCAGATTCCACCCTGTGCTTTCACATAGACTCTTACATTCCTCACTTTTAAGATGCTTTCACTAAAATCGAGATTTATGTCTAAGTCCCTATACTCCCCCCTCACCAGCTTCGATGTCTATTCCTTGACCCCCTCCTTGATTCCTTTCAGTCTTAGATGCTAATCACTCTAAGGTTTTTTTTTTTTTTTTTCATGCTGAAGAGCTTTAATGACTCTGCCTAGAGTGGCTGGTCTTCTGCCAGGTAGCACATGGTCAGGTGAAGGAACACTTTGTCCCAATGCCACTCTCTACCCTTTTCCATGTTATTGTTAGTTGCCGTTGAGTTAATTCCGACTCATGGTAACCCCTTTTCCATTGTTGTTGTTAGGTGCTGTCTAGTTGATTCTGACTCATAGCGACCCATATGACACAGCAGAACTGCCCCATAGGGTTTTCTTGGTTGTAATCTTTACAGAAGCAGATCACCAGTTCTTTCTTCTGTGGAGTGCTGGGTGGGTTTGAACCAACAACCTTTAGGTTAGCAGCCAGGAATTTATCTGTTTGCACCACCTGGGCTCCCTCCCTCTCCCACATTGTTGTGTGCCATCAAGTCGATTCCGACTCATAGCGAACCTATAGGACAGAGTGGAACTGCCCCATAGGGTTTCCTAGGCTGTAATCTTTACAGGAGCAGGTTTCCAGGTCTTTTCTCCCATGAAGCCACTGAGTGTGTTCAAACTGCAGACCTTTCGGTTAGCAGCCAAACACTTAACTACTGTGCCACAAGGGCTCCTTCCCTTTTCCATAGGGAGTTTTAATTGGAGAGAACACACTTGGTGCACCTGCCTCACACCCAGGGACTCTCATAAAAATAGCAAACCAATGGTCTTGCTCCTACCTCCCGAGCAGAATTTAGCAGCTGTCAGTAGGAGCTGATGAGATAATACAGTGGCTAGGATGCTGAACTAGGAATCAGACCTGGTATCTAAGGCTAGCTCTGCCCACACTTACTACTGTGACTTTGACAGAGTCACTTCCACTTATTTGTCTTAATTACCTTAGGAGGGATGGTAATGCTTGTAGTCGTGAGAGTCAAACATGAAGTTATTTATTTTCTGAGCATGTATTTTAGCCCTGCATACACTAAAGTTATGTTTGTTATCTGGCTACTGCTCACACATGGAATATCTCCATACTCTTTGCTTTTAGCCCATGCCAAAATGTAAATAGCAAAAAGCAGTTTAAAGCCAAATTGGTATTTATTTAGTTACTTATCGCATTTTGGCTCTTTTAGATGATTTAGAGGTTAAAGCAGCATTTCTCAACCTCAGCATCTTTGACATCTTGGACCGAAAATCCATTCTTGTGGAAAGCTATTCTGTGCATTATAGGATGTTTAGCAGCATTCCTGGCCTCTGCTTACTAGTTGCCTGTCGTGATAATCAAAAATGTCTCCAGATATTGCCAGATGACCCCTGGACAGCAAAATTGCTCATGGTTAAAAATACACTGGGTTAAAGGATAATACAGCTTTATTTTATTGCCCTTTCTTTACATGACTAACTCCTTAAGCATAGGACTTAATATTCAATATTTTCCATAAATTTCAGAGTTGATGTTCAATAAAAATTTTAGTATATGGAAATGATGTGTGTGATGGTTAAGATTGTATGTCAACTTGGCCAGGCCATTATTCTCAGTGTTTTAGCAGTTGTATAATGTTGTGATCACTTCCCTGTTGAAATTTGATATGTGATCACCCCTATGATGGAATCTGCTGAGTGGTACTGGCGGAGGTGGGGCCTGTGGCAGCTCACCGCCCCCTCAGTTTCATCTCTCTGCCTTCCATGGGTTACTTTCTGCCTGCTCGCCTTGCCAAGGTTTTTGGCTTGTTCCAGACTCAGCAGTTGCCTCTTGTCTCACCTCTGGTTCTTGGGACTTGAGCTAACAGCTTACCTGTTGATCTTGGAATTCGTGGATCTTCTCAGCCTGCGAGCAAGAATCTGGTTCCCCAACCTGCTGATCTTGGGTTCGCCCACCCCTGCAGCTACGTGAATCAGGAGAAACCTTGCGGTCTTCTCTGCTGATCTTGAAATTCATTGACCTCACAGCCGGTGAGCAGGAGCCCCTCTCCGACCTGTCGACCTTGGGTTCACCAGCTTTTGTGGCTCTGTGAATTGGGAGAGGCCTCTACCCTGACCTGTGGACTTGGGACGTTTTAGCCTCTACAATTGTGTGAGCTATTTCCTTGATATAAATTTCTCTGTGTATATACACTTTACTGGTTTTGCTTCTCTAGAGAACCCAGCCTAAAACATTTGGTACTGAGAGTGGTTCTAGAGAAACAAAATCATAAGGATGAGTTTTCTAAATTCATTCTCAAGTCTGGTTAGTCTTAAAGATGTTGATGACTCTGCTTCCAGAAGTAAATAGGGCACTGCTAGTCCATGGAGTTAGGTGGCGATACAAATATGCAAAATATCACCACCAGTAGATCAGGTATTGGTGAAAGGTGAGCCTCTGGGTGAACACGTGTGATATCTTTCTACAGCTTTGTCAGAATGAGAAGTATAGGGAAGCTGATTGGTTGGTCCTGCTTTCACTAGACAAACTGGTGAAAGAAAGAGATGTGCTCAGGGCTTCAGAGTCAAAGCTCAAGTGCCGCCTAAATGACCTCAAGGCTTCCACTTGTGCTTTGAAGGAAAGCCTTATTTCTTGTAGTAACAGAGCTGAAATTGCCAAAACTCAAACCCAGACTCTTATTGTAAGAGTGGCCGAATTACAATGCCAGCTCAATTGCCAACCTCGAGAGGTGTCTGAAATTAAAGTAAGAGCACTGATTGGGAAGAAATGGGATCCTGAAACTTGACATGGGAACATATGGGCAGATAATCAGAGAGCTAGAGACACTGAGCTGCTAAATTCTGTTGAATCACTCCTGCCAACAGAACCACTCCCACCTGAAGAGATTACTTCATGTTTGTCTGTTACACCACCCTGCCCAGGAAAACCATTATCCCCTCCAGTCCCATCTAATGAGATTAGCCCTAGTCCAGCTGCCTCTAAAGAGCCCTTGCCTGATCATTGCCTTGGGGCATTTCCCGAGGCAGAAAAACCATTAGCCCCTCCATTCCCATCTAATGAGATTAGCCTTAGCCCAGCTGCCTCTAAAGAGCCCTTACCTGAGTCATTGCCTGGGGCAGATGCTTTACGAGACAATGCTGAATGTTCTCAAAACAATTCCACACTACCGATTCTAGCATCTGGACCTCTAACTAGACTTAAGTCCCAGCGAGCCCCAAAAGGTGAAGTACAGAGTGTGACCCAGGAGGAGGTACGCTACACTCCAAAAGAACTTGAGTTTTCTAATATGTATAAACAGAAACCTGGGGAATATGTGTGGGAATGGCTATTAAGGGTGTGGGATAATGGTGTAAGGAACATACAGATGGGTCAGTCTGAGTTTATTGATATGGGTCCACTAAGCACAGATTCTTCATTCAGTGTTTCAGCTTGAGAAGTTAGGAAAGGATCTAATTGTTTGGTTGGGTTGCTGAAGCATGGATTACGAGGTGGCCTACACTGAATCAAGTTGAAGTGCCAGACCTGCCTTGGTATACTGTAGAAGGTGTCCATAGGCTTAGAGAAATTGGCATGCTAGA